CTGATACTGCTGCTGCTGTCTGCATCACCCTTCTTGTTGTTTGTGAGTTCAGGAGGAAGTGTTGTTGTTGTTGTGGTGGTGGTGGTGGTGGTGGTTGTGGTGGTGGTGGTGGTAGTTGATTCCTCATTACTGGTTGATCCACCTTCTGCAGGGTTTGTGTCATTAGTCTCACTTTCAGCCTGATTATTACTGGTATCATCTGTAGATGAATTGCTGGGAGAACCATCACCTGTACTTTGAGTTGTGGGAACAGAAGTATCTTGTCCTTCTGCTGTTCCAGTCACATTTGTTTGTGTGGTGTCTGTATTATCTGAACTTCTGGTGTCACTTGTACTCGGTTCAGTGGCCGAATGTGATGGTCCTTCATCGGTTTTAACAGATGCATCTGCCTGTACTTCTACATTTTCTTTTCCACCCGGCTGAGCACCCGGAGTCTCCAAACCTTTTGCAGCAGTGTCCCTTCTTCCAGTCAATGTATTCTCAGTCCTTTCATCCACTGGGTTTTCAGTAACTTGATCACCTGGTTGAGAAGCGCCATCAACAGCACCAGTCCCTCTAGAAACAGCAGCAGCAGCAGCAGCAGCAGGTTGAGTAGAACGGTGATCACTCTGAGGTACCCTATCTTCTTGCGCAGCCTCATGTTGCTGAGTAAGTTCTTCCTGCGTTGGTTTCCCTTCCAAATGTTGATCTTTGACATCCCGTTTTTCTAACACTGTCAACTTCTGTTGTTCAATTTGGTGAGACTCTTCTGCACCAAGACCACCAGCACCAGGATTCTCACGAGTACAAGGAGGCTTAGAAGTACCATCAGAAACATCAGAGCAAGAAGTAACACCATGACCAAGACCTTCCGGACCAGTCTCTTCAGCCAACACGCACACACTGGTGCAGCTCAGCAATAAGGTAAAAATGCAGAATACATAGTGTAGCTGCATCATGGGAAAGGCAATTTATTCTTTTTTTGAATCCCTTAACTCCTTAAATGAACTACACATAAGAAACGCAAAAAAAACAAAACGCAGGTGAAGGCAAACGTCAATACACCAATAAAAATGAAATACAATGAGGGAAAAAAACCACAAACAATCACAGAAAATGGAAGCCAACCAGAATAAAACAATACTCCACCATAACTCAGAGTACAACGAAAGAGCATCCCACAATATCCCAATAAGTAAGAGAGAGCCAAATACAAACACAATACTGTATGGCTCTACATTATGTATTAAATTACTCCACACACACATCTGTGTGTACTAGCAAGAGATGTATACCGTCAGTGAGCAGAACAGCCCAGCTTTCTACAAACACACAACGGGAAAAGCAAGTAATGGAATTATTAGAAAAAGAACACACGCACACACATAAAAGTAAAAGAAAAGAAAAGAAACTCGAATTAAAATAGAAAGCTTGTAAACATATTATTAGTTTATTTACCCATGGGGTATGTACGCAATTATGATTATGCTAGTATTACCATTATTATTATTTGTCCTCAGATGAGTCCCACCGTTCATTACACAGTAACAGAGAACAACACAACCACTACAATCAACAGCGGTGCTGCAGTGCGCATCCACACAGAACTGATACTGCTGTCAACATTAGTCTTGTTCGTCTGTACTGCGGAAGCAATAGTGTTGATCTCTGCGTTGGCTACAGGAGATGGAATAGTGGGTGGTTCCTCATTATTACTGGTTGTATTGGGAGTGTCAGTGTTTATGTTCTCTGATGTATTCGTTGTTGTGTCTGGAGACTCAGTACCGTTGGCCTCAATATTCTTAATACCTTCTTGAGTTGAGTTAACAGGAGTGCCATCAGATGCAGTTGTATCCACACTTGTCTGTGAAGGTGTTGTAGAAGTCTCTTGTGTTGTTGAAGGATGGTTTTGAGAATCTGTACCATCCTGGTTAGAAGCAGTTCCACTTGATCCACTGTGGCTGTCAGCATTGTGCTCCTTCTGCTGTCTCTCTTGTGTGCGTCCAGATGATGTTTCTTGTACCTGTGGACCGGAGCCCAGTGAAGCATCGCGTCCTTTATTCGTCTCTGCAGGGTCACGTCCAGGTGATACTCGTGACTCTTCCATTTCAGTTCCACTTTCACGACTCTCCACGTCTTGTGTTTGATGACCCTGTTCTTTTGCAACAACAATGTCTGTTGGTACTTCTCCATGAACTGGACGAGAAAGAGATCCTTCTTCTGTTCTTCCAGGTTGAGTAGGCAAAATAGGTTGACCACCTGTTGGTATTTCCTGTCCTGCCTTTGGGTTTCCTTTGGGTAGTGAAGACGCCTTAGAAGCCTCATTACCCAGTTGGTTCTCTCCCTCATCTGAACGTGCTTCACTTAATTGACTATCGTTTGGCAGACCTGACCCTAAGGCCTCCTTTGCAAGACTTCGGTCCACATGTGGCCCCTCTGCGAGACCACCAGCTAGTCCAGAAGATGCCTGAAGGACACCACCAGCAACAGCACTCCCAGGCTCAGGTCGAGGTTCAAGTTCATCACTGGCAGCTGACACGCTCACCAAGAGGGAACAGAATAAAAGAGTTTGGATACACAACGCAAAGGGCAACCCTTTCATAGTCATCGCTGTAATATTAAGCAAGAAAATCTTAACGAAGAGAGAGTCAAAAAAGGAATGAAAGATTAAGACAACACACAATCAATTCATAAAAGACAATTAACCAAGCTGATTCTAGTAAGGATAATAATCAAAGAATGCCACATACACACAACAATACCACCAGCATAAATAATAAAAAATCATTAATGCGTCACCCAAAGAAAGAGAATTCCAGACACAAAAACAATTGAAGAGCAAGCACATCAGCATTATCAAACAAAGAATAATAAAGCTCTCAATTTGCTGTCGAATGCATAATCATTCATACAACAATGTGTAACAGTTGATTTTTTCTCCCTTATACAAAAAGAAATCACTACCACAGTGCAGGGCAAAGCACACAACGCCCCAGCAACCAAAAGCAAACAAACAAACAGATATTAACACCATTAGCCCAATGTACCCAGTAAATACAAGAAATATACACCAACTATGGGTGTAAGTCTATATATGTCTATATATACGCAATTATAAATTCATCTGTTATTATTATTTCCTTTTCTTTTTCCCACTGCAAAAAACAGCTCATCATCACAGTGCAAGCCCAGGTGCACACAGAGGGAGTCTCCAAGAACAGACACACACACAGAATGGAGTAGCAATAATAATTATTATAGGATAAACACATAGAGCAAAAACACACACAAAACACATTAACATTAAGAAACAAAAAAGAAAAAAAGAAAACTCTCAACAGGTAGAAGATTAGTTAGACTGTAGTGTGGATGCATGCAAAAAAAGAAAAAGAAAACAAAGGATGACCTGAACCACACTACCATTACAGAATCAGCACACAAGAATACAGGCCAGTGTAACCACAATCAGTAATGGCACACGCACCCACACAGAACTGCTCATACTGCTGCTGCTGTCTGCATCACCCTTCTTGTTGTTTGTGAGTTCAGGAGGAAGTGTTGTTGTCGTTGTGGTTGTGGTGGTTGTATCTGTATTACCTATATCATCTGGGTTATTCGTTGATCCACTTCCTAAAGGGTTGACGTCTTTCAAAGGAGAAGAAGATTCTGCGCCAGTACCGTTTTGAGGCTGTCCAACATTATTCTCAGCTTTACCGTGTTCATTATTCTCTGCGTGAGAACTCTGAGGTGTATCCGATACCGGAACCTGAACTGCGGTATTGATGTTATCTGAACTACCAGAACCACCCGTATTCTGTTGACTGAGAGAATTGGGTGATTGGTGCCCATCTGTTTTAGGTGTTGTTTCTTTTGGTTGCTCTCCAGATATCTGTGATGCTTCCGCCTGATGTTCTGTCGTACCAGAAGTTACTTGATCATCACCACGGGTTGATTCCTCCACTTGTTCTTTAACAGTACTTTTTCGACCTTGGTCCATGAGTGTTGGCCCACTATCAGGCACTTTTATGGACGGATCACTTTTCCCCAGTCTGCTACTCTCAGACATATCACTCCTTTCACCTCCAGGACTACCAGGAAGACCATCAACACCAACAGCACCTGGTTTACCCTCAGCGGATGCTCCATTATGTGAAGAAGCCAGAGGAGCATCTGCAAGAGGTGGTGGTGGATGTTGCTGCTGGACTGTGGAATTAACAGGGATCTCTTGAGGACTGAGAGAACCTTCACTTCCCATTGGCCCAGAGACTGTTGATGGCTTGTTAATTGTTGTTTTTCCTACTTTATCGGACCCCTGTTCTCTTCTTGTTTCTCCATCCTCATTGCTTCTATCTTTATCTTCTTCATCTATATCCACTTTATCTTCCTTATCCATATCCACTATCCAACCTCCATCCGCAGGAATAGCATAACGAACAAGAGAAGGAACACCAACAGTGGAAGGTTTAATAAGGGTATCAGAAGCTTTAGGACTATCAGCCCATACTAACCCACAAGCACAACACAGTGCAAACGTTAGTAAACAGAGCAGGTAACACCTCACCATTACAGCCTTTGTCATTGTTGTTGTTTACTTCAACAGACTAATACAAGTAGAAAGAAGGAAGAGAAAGAATTATCATAAAAATAAAGAAACAAACAAACACCAATACAACAAATACTCACAGTGGAATAGAGAGAGAGAGAAGCAGCAACTGCACAGTAAAGCAAGAAAAAGGAATAGCCCGCTTGTATGATAATAATATGTATCCCTTAATAGAAAAGAAAAAGAGAAGACCACAATAACCAAATAAGATAGAGAGCCAAACACACACACAATATACCCCATGGTTCTAGTTTATGTATTAAATTACTGCACACACACATCCGTGTGTACTAGCAAGAGATGTATACCGTCAGTGAGCAGAACAGCCCAGTTTTCTGCAAACACACAACGGAAAAAGCAAGTAATGGAATTATTAGAAAAATGAACACACACATAAAAGTAAAAGAAAAGATATTCCAATTAAAAGATAAAGTTGGTAAACAGATTATTAATTTATTCACCCATGGGGGATGTATGCAATTATGATTATATTAGTTTAACCATTATTATTATTTGTCCTCAGATGAGTCCCACCGTTCAGTACACGGTAACGGAGAACAACACAGCCACAATCAACAGCGGTGCTGCAGTGCGCATCCACACAGGACTGACACTGCTGTCAGCATTAGCCTTGTTCTTCATGGTGGGAGCGATCTTGCTGATCGGTGGGTCGGTTAGAGGAGATGGAGTGGTGGTTGGTGCTTCGCTGTTAATGTTGGTGGTCGCCGTTGAATCAGCATTGCCATTCTCTTGTGCAGCTGCTGTGGGAGAGGTACCTGGAGCTGCAGTGAATTCGTTACCGGAATTAACATCACTGGATAGAGTGCTCTCCGCTGCTGGAGACGGTTGCTGCGCAGTAATATTATCATTGGCATTACTCATATCTGTGGGTTTTGCAGACTCAGCTGGTAAATTGGTTTCTGTGGAATCAACATCTCCAGGTGTTGTTGAGGCTGTTGTTGTAGATGTGGTTGTGTGTGTCTCTGAAGCCCCTGATGGTAATGCTTTCCCTATAGCTGGAGCACTCACTGGTGAAGATTCTTTTTCTGCTGTAACATGTATTTGAGGTGCTTCTTTCGGTTTGGGTAACTCCAGTGTACTGTCAGGATTGAGAGAGTTCTGATGACCCTCACTGTCATGGTTAGGGGATATCTGTGGTGGATTATCAGAAGAAGAAACAGTAATCATATCACCCTTTTCATGAAGAGTTTCCTAATGTTTTATCTCTTCCAATCCTGAATCATGACCACCTAATGATTGCTGTCGTTGTTCATGTAGTTGGGCTTCTCCCTCACGGATACCACCGCTATTACGTATATTTGTATTTTCTGGTTTCGGATACTTACCAGGAAACCCTTCCCAACTACTCGCATAAATATCGTAGTTCTTCTCCGTATTTGACTGTCCACCTTCAGCCATAGCACACCCGCAGGCACAGCACAGCACAACGGCCAACACACACATCACACGGCGTATCATCATCGTCATCATGAGAGAGACACAAGGGTTTGTTTCACGTAAAAACACTGATCTAGAAAGAAAGAGAATCAAAAAGCAAAAAAAAAGAAAATAAATGAAGTATCAAACATGTTAGGACACACATCAAACGATTACCACTATGGAAACTGACATCGTGAAAGTAAAACCTACCAGTTAAAGAATTCAATACAGTGCAATAACCTCAGACAGAAAAGAAGAAAAAAAGCCCAAACTCAGAAAAAGTTCAAAAAAGGCTGAACCACCCCAGCAAAATCATCAAGCAAAGAAACACATATTAACCAATATCCCAATTTACACAATAAACACAGAAATATACACCAACTATGGGTGTAAACCTATGTGTGTATATAAGCAATTATAAATATAAATTCATCTGTTATTATTATTTCATTTTCCCTCTCATCGCAAAAAACAGTTCATCATTATCATCACAGTGCAAGCCCAGGTGCACACACACAGAGAGAGAGTCTCCAATAACACACACACACACAAAATGGAGTAGTAGCAATAATAATTATTATAGGATAAACACAGAGAGAGCAAAAACACACAAAACACAATACCATTAAGAAACATAAAAAAAGAAGAGAAATCCCAACAGGTGGAAGATTAGTTAGACTGTAGGGATGCATGCAAATAGAAGAAAAAGAAAACAAAGGATGACCTGAGTCACCACAATCACCATTACAATCAGCACACAAGAATACAGGCCAGTGTAACCACAATCAGTAGTGGTACACGCACCCACACAGAACTGCTGATACTGCTGCTGCTGTCTGCATCACCCTTCTTGTTGTTGTTTGCAGCCTCAGGAGGAAGTGTTGTTGTGGTGGTGGTAGTAGTGGTTGATTCCTCATTATTTGTTGTAGTATCATCCCCAGAATTTGCAGTTCCTGCAGATGATGGGTCATTCTCATTCGTTGTGGCATTGGAATTTTCACCACCGCCCTCTGATGTTGAACCGTTAGAAGATGATTGTGCTGATGCTTTATTTCCATTTCCTGCACTTCCTCCAGATTGACTTTCACTCGAAGACACACCAACACTTCCATCAGTAGTAGGAGATTCAGAAGTAGTACCAGGAGAGGGCGCAGCAGCAGAATCCACAGCAGCAGCTTCTCTCCTGGTGAGATCAGTTCCTTCAGGTCGAGCTGCAGCGGGAGGATCCTGTGAGTCTTGTACAACATTGCCCGTTTCAGTCCTTTGTGCTGTAACTTGTGGAAGTTGAGTGCCTCCACTACCACCACTACCTCCTCCTCCAGATCTATTTGTAGCTTCACGACATTGTTGATTAGAAACTTCAGTGCCAGCAGAGCATTCATCAGCAGCTTTACCAGGAAGATCAGCAGAATCGGAAGCAGAAGCAGGAACAGGAGCAGAAGAACCAACAATACCAGGAGGACCAGAAGGAAGAGCAGGGCCAGCAGCAGCAGGACAAGAACCTCCAGGAGTTTCAGGAGCACCACCATCAGTAGTGCAATCAGCAGTACCTTGAAGAAGAATCTTTGTCTCACTCTCCGTATCAGGGACTTGGTCGGAAAGATCGGCGGCAGGCACTTCTTCAGCGAGGACGTGCACACACGCACATGAGAGCAGGAGAGCGAGGATACACAGCACGTAGCGCATCATTACCATTGCAAAACTTCTTGTAGTAGTCTTACTTCAACTATTTACACACAAGAAAAAAACCCAATAATAAAAACATAAACAAATAGAATCAATGAAAAAAACACAATGAGAACACACTACCAAATCTAACAACACTCAACAATTACAGCACAGGCACACACATTGCAGAAAACTGCAAGCGTAACTCAGACAATGGCCCAAATAAAGAAACAAAGCACACAGTAGCCATCACCAAGCACAAAATCCCTAAGAGCCTCTCAAAGGAAAAAAAGGAAATTAAAGAGCACAACCATCAGAAGAACAAAGCACAGAAATACACAACAGTGTTTCTTCTGGTCAAACCAAGCATGATTACAAATATACTTATGTATTCCTTACTATTGTTTCTCTCCAAAAAACACTCCAATACACAAGAATGCAGGAAAACGCACAGAGCGCCCAAGGAAAGAAAATGAAAAAAACACAAATTAAGAAAAGGACCAACTGCACACAAATAACTCACAGACCACTGGGTATGATGGTCTGCTCAAGCACATAAGAATACAAATTGTAATAACTACTATTTTTTTTTCTTCTGCATAAAACAGACTACCAAAATCGTGCAGGGCAAAAGCACACAACGACCCTGCACACCACGAGCAAAGAAACATACATTAATCATTAGCCCAATTTACCCAGTAAACACAGAAAT